ACTAGCGGTTTGGTACAAAAAGCTACATAAACTAGCTTTTTCAATCCGCTAGCGATTTGGACCATAACCGCTATCCGCTAGTTTCAAACCGCTAAATAAAAATTTTACCAAACACTTTAGTTGTAGCGGTTTCGAAATATATAAATTTACCAAACACCTATATTTAGCGGTTTAAGTAAAACCGTTAACCGTTACCCTAAAACCGCTATACCAAACGAGGCCTTTAACACACTTTACATCAAGCTTAAGTAATTCAAATAAATTAGATTTTTTTAACATATTGGCCTTTTAAATTAACCTATAATTAAAATGATATATATTCCTTATGAGCAGCTATGTGGCATGGAAAAAAAATAAAGAAAGAATTAAGATGTTGTATTTATTTTAGGTGATCAAATATCCTTAATATTTTACTAAAATTATTTAATGTCACCGGCTGAGATGTCAAATGTGGTATTAAATTGATTTTGTGTTCGGCTAGATAGTACTTACCCAATTCTCCTTTTGTGTCAGTTAGCCTACTTACAAAAACAGAAAGAATTATCATAGTACAATTTCTTTTACTCAGCCAAGCGCAAATGGATGAGATACCACCATACTTGGTGGGACATTTATGCTGTCTGTTATGTGGGAATCGACATCCGCTACTAGCGAAAAATTGTGTGAAGAAAGAATGTTAGTCTTTTTTTTTTTTTTTTTTTTTTTTTTCTTGAAAGTTTAGAGAAACCTTTTTTTTTTATCACTAATATATATACTTTTTAATCTAACACATTTACAATATATTTATTAAAAAATTATTATCTTTTTGTTTAAAATTAAAAATGAAAAAACTTAAAACTATAAATTTTAATATCTAAATTGATAAATGTCAGTAATTGTATTGAATTAAAAACTGTAATAATCATTTTCCTCCTACAATCTCTTCCCAATATTAATAAGGTTCAAAAATATAAATTTTCTAACAAAAAATAACTAAAGTTCTTGGCCACTATAGTAACTTCAGTCATCAATTAAAAGATATTTTTTTTCTTTAGCATTTAAATTTAAGGGTATTTTCAGACTAACTTTTGTCTTACATTTATTTTATAAGACATCATTTATTTATTAATGAATCTAATCATTGAGGCATAATTAAAAGATTAATTAATTGCTAATATGCTAGTTTGTTTTAAGCAATCTTTTAGCCTTTAGGTGGCCCGTGCAAAATTCGATAGTTATCATGCCAGAACAAACAATCTGCTACTAACTTTTTTGTGTGATAATTTTTCTTTTAAACAATTCATAAAATCTGAATCAAATTCCTAATTAATTCATAAAATATAGACTTGATTCTACCTGGGATTAGTAAAGTGGGGAATTTTTTATCTTGAAGTCTTCAACTGAATGAATCCCTTTATAAAGTACAGATTTTATGCAGCTGTAGTGATTTAGAAAATAACCTCATAATTTAGACTATTCAATGGTCTTTTTGTTTTCTTAAAAATATAAAGTATTAGTTAGAGTCATGTAATATAGAAGAAAACTAAATAAACAAAAGAAAATAGATTTTCATGTAACTCAAAAAACAAAAAAACATTGTCACATCATTATATATAGATTGCAAACTCAGTCCTTTTTTTTTTGGTTAAATACCCTTTTTGGTCCCTCTACTATAGGAAAAAGCTCTTTTTTAGTCCCTATACCAAAAAATCCCTTTTTTAGTCCTTACTGTTCATAAATCCGGCCCCTTTTTAGTCATTCCATTAAATTTTAGCTGACATGGCAAGTTAATTAACGGAAATACTCATTCTTTTTTTTAACTAAATTACGTGGAAAATCCATGTGGCAAAAATTGATGACATGTTAAATTTTTTACCCTTAATTACTGATATACCCTCATCTTCTTCCCCGTTTTTCATTCCTCCAGCCTTTTTTTTTTCTTTTTTTTATTTTACCTCCAGGTGCTCGCGAGGTTCACGACGAACCCAAGCTTGAGAGGTTCGCGACGAACCCAACTTGCGGGTTCATGAGGAACCCACGAGCCTGGGTTAGCCATCGTGAACCCATGAGCTTGGGTTCGCCATCGTGAACCCACGAGCTGGGTTCATCGCAAACCCAAGCTAGGTTTATTGCAAGATTCAGAAAATTTCAAATCAAACGCGAAAATTTTCATGTACAGAGACTTAGAAACTCAACGACACATACAGAAGATGAGGAATCGATTGAAGAGATTGAAGGGGATTTGCAACTGCAGATCTCCTACTGCTTGCTCCAAGTTCTGTTGGTACTTCTCTCTCGAATTCAGCTTTTGCCTGAACTTCTCTCATTTGCATGCTTACTCTTCTCTGTATTCATAAACTACTTCACTGTTAAAGCCTTAAATGCGATGATGATTTCGATCTAGACTTCAATTTGCAGTTTCTTGTCGGTTTCCAGATTAGGAGTTGAATGAGCGATTTTTATTTGATTTCAGCTATATTTTGAGCTTAGTTATGTTTCATAAGTTACTTGTGAAATTTGAGATCGACATTGATCTAGAAACAGAAGGATTTGAATGTTTCAGTGAGAAAAACTTGATGAAGCTCTTTCATATGCAATAGTTCTTCACGTTCTGCGAAAATACTAATAGTAAGCTGAGTAGCGATAAGATGTTTCCAGAAATTTTTTTTGGTTTCTTGGACACTGTCCTGTTTGGATCTTGATTTTACACTTTTGTTGCTTTTCAATAATAATATGAAGTAATAGTCTCTACTCTCCCAAGTCCGATCTCAACAATCAATTCAAAATTAAAATCATTAGTTCGAGAAGTTTAAGATCGAAACGGATGCTGTCTTCTTATATGAAATTTGTGTCTTAAATGAAGTATGTTTAGTAATCAAAGATCCACGAGCAGGGAATCTTGCGACAAACCTAGCCTAGGTTCGTAACGAACCTAACCTGGGTTTGCGATGAACCCAGCTCATGGGTTTGCCATCGCGAACCCAGGCTTGTGGGTTTGTCGTGAACCCAACTTGTGGGTTCGTGATGAACCCAGGCTCCTAGGTTCGCCTGAAGGTAAGAAAAAAAAAGGCTGAAGGAAGGAGAGGATGGAGGAAGAAGATAAGGGTAAATTGGTAATTAAAGATAAAAAATTTAGCCATGTCATCAAGTTTTGCCGAATGGATTTTCCACGTAATTTAAGTAAAGAAAAAAATAAAGTTTTCCGTTAATTAACTTGCCATGTCAGTTAAAATTTAACGGAAGGACTAAAAAGGGGCCGGATTTATGAACAGTAAGGATTAAAAAATGGATTTTTTCGGTATAAGGACTAAAAAGGGGTTTTTTCTTATAGTAGAGGGACCAAAAAGGGTATTTAACCTTTTTTTTTTGGCATTCCTCAATCCCCCTTTCTTTGCTGCTAACAAAAAACCATCCTTGATCCTTATTAGAAGCTTAGAAATGCCATATTGATTAAAAGCCTTTGGTTTAAGCTTTTAAGAAGGAAAATTAAAGAGAACTAAAGAGTTTGAAAAAAGTTTTTTTTTTTTTTTTTTTTCTGGACTTAAAGAAAAAGAAATTGAAGTGACTAAAATGTCTACAGTACAATTGAATGGTGAACCAATTCGCCCTATAGGGCTGGTCCCAATGGAAGAAATGAATATCCATTACCATTATCCATCGATATAATTCAATTCATCTTTCTTTTGCTTCTTTATTATTATTACCGAATAGAGGATGCAAACCATCCAGATGGAGCAGTCCAAACCCATGTGATAACATGGGTCTGGTCCAATCCATTCATCAGGTTCTGAGCCCACAAAGCCCAAACCGCGCAGTCTTTGTTCTTACTTCATACCATCTTACCAGTTAACCTGCCAAGAACTAATAAAGTATACATACACTTCAAAAGTGTGGTGGCTGTATTGCAGCTGTCTTGATGCTAAACAAGTCGAGGAGCTCCGGCTATGGCTATGGCTACGGCTATAAGGGTATCTGTGACTTGATGCAGCTAGTTAAAGATATGAACCCATTTCTCGACAGGCATTTGCCTAAGTTCATGATCATACAGAAAGTGTTTGGAAAAGAATCAATTTCTCTCTGATCTTTCATTTTTTTGGTGAGAGCTCCGCCTATGGCTATGGCTATGGCTACGGGTATAAGGGTATCTGTGACTTGATGCAGCTCGTTAAAGAAATGAACCCATTTCTCTACAGGCATTTGCCTATGTTCATGATCATACAGAAAGTGTTTGAAAAGAACCCATTTCTCTCTGATCTTTCATTTTTTTGGTGACTAACATTCAATTTATTCGTACCCTGGAAATATAGATTGCAGGTATTTGATTTGGTAAATTGTTTGAAGCTTCTTTTCCCCTGTTATTGTAATATTTAGGAAAGTTAAAGTTGCAGACCTGATGTTTAACAGAATGTCTGGCTCGGGGATTGCTGGAAATTAACACTGCATCCTGAAGTGACTCATCAATTCATTAAGATTAAAAAAAGAAGAAAGAGAGAGGGAGAACAGAGATTCATCAAAAGGAGGAGACCCCAGATGAAGAATTATTACATATGATCAACTCATGGCATCTTCTATTTGTGTCTCAACATGTCTTACAACCAACATTGATTGATCACTTACCGGCTCCCAGTATGGCATACAGGGTTTGCAGGATAGACAGGACTAGAATGATACCTGCAAAAATTTGAGAAACAATCGCCCATGGCTTCCCAAAATAATTGTGGTAATAAAAAGCTCTCCATTTAGGCCACCATTGCTGCCGATAATCATTCACTTGACTGCAAAGCTTCTGATAGTAAAACTCTTTCACATAAGCATCATGGTATAACATCTTAAAGAACTGGGTCGTGTCTTGCGGATTAACCCAGTTGATAAGAATCCCACTCTCCAAGAGTTCATCCAGGTCCTCGAGTGTGTTGATGAGGTTGTCCAAGAGTATAGCATAACTTGTAATTCTTGGCTGACAGTTGGGATAGCATTGCTCGTAGCTGATGAGGTTTCGGAACACAGGTTCAATGGTTTCTTGAATTAGAATTGATGGCATTTTGAGGGTACCATTGACGAACTTGACATCCAATATGGTTGTTGACTTCACTTTCATGAATTTGATTCCGGATTCTTTGATGGTGGTGGCGGAAGGGAAGGGCTGCCAACCCTTTTGCACCTGTTGGGATTGCTTCTCTAACTTAATTTCACACTCGGGAAGTGGAAGTTGCAACACCAAAGAACTTCTTAACAAATCAAGAATGTGCTTAATATCCTGATTGGTGAAGATATTATCATCCACAAGCAATTGCTCAGAGGAAAAGATGTTGCCAAAGAATTTGAGAACTAGTTCAATTACGAGGGACTTGCTTTGAGATGGACCCCCCGTTGAGCTAAACAAACGCTCGAGCACAAACCAGGGGATTTGATTTTCTAACAAAATCAAGTCCTGGTATAAGAACTGAATCATACAGGACATGGAGAAAATAGGGTCATCTCCATCTTTTTCTTCTTCTGCGTTCTTTCTTAACAGTTCAATAATGAAGCAACCATCAAGCACCAACATCTCAACAAATTCCTCTTCACTCATATCAATTTCTTCTGCGTAGCACTCGCGAGCTTCTTTCTCTTTTGTCTTGATCTCGCTGATGCATTGCCTCAACATTGTCTTTCGATTACCTGTTCTAGTGAGGAGTCCTTCTAGGTACTTCAACTTGATCTTTTGTGTGTCCCTCGGGTTGTGCTTGTCGTGGTGAAAAGGCCCGATGGAAAATGCGTTGGGGATGAATGCTTCCTCGTTGTGCCTGCGGAGTATACTGGGGATTTTGAAGATGCAGGCTTTAGCTGAAATGAACTGCATCATCTCTTGTTGCCCCATATTGTTCTCCAGGGAAGATGCCACTGATTCAATTACTCTTGCCATAATCAAAATTTCCCCTCCTCAAACTTCTCCGGACAAAATTCTTTCCTGGGAAAATGAAAGAAAGAGAGGATTTTTGAACAAGATATGTATGAGAAGAAGAATTGTTGAAGACTCAGCTCTATATTGCACTTTAATATTTCTATTTAAGATTAAAATTTTTTTTCTATGTAATTTAATATTTAAAATGTACATTAATTATATTTTTAACCTTTTCTCTTAAAAAAATCTTTACAATCAAAATGTTAAGAATATTTTACTTTGCATAAAAGAATGTTTATACTTTTTTTTTTTTAAATGAAAGAAAGAGAGGATTCTTGAAGATATGTATTTGAAGAAGAATTGTTGAAGACTCAACTCTATGTTGCACTTTAATATTGCAATTTAAGATCAAAAATTTTTTTCATGTAATTTAATATTTAAAAAGTATATTAATTATATATTTAATCTGTACCTTTAAAAAAATTCTTTACAAGTGAAATGTTAAGGATGCTTTGCTTTGCATGAAAGAATGTTTATACTTTTTTTCTCTCTCATTGTGTTTCTCTTGACTTTTGTTGTGCAGTATTATGCATTTAAAGAATGTTTAATATTTGAAGAATGTTTGTTTCAGGTTTCCCTTTCCATGGTGGAAAGGCCAATGGAGAATGCATTTGGAATGTATGCCTTCTCATTGTGCCTGTAGAGTATGCTGGGAATTCTGAAGATGCAAGCCTCTGGTGAAATGATTGGATCATCGCTCATCTTGCTCCCCATGGAAGATGCCATTGATTTACTATCTCTTCTACCTTATCTCATTGTCAATCCCGCTCCTCAACAAGCTATAGGGATGATGGAAAAATAAAAATGAAAAGAAACACCGTCTAGGCAAATCTCTCTTTACGGAATAAGGAAAAAAAAGAAAAGAAAAGAAAGATTCTTGAACTAGGCCTGGCAGTTGTGAAAAGACTCAGCTGAAAATGGCCCTGTTTTTTACTTTAATCCAATACTGCAATATGAGAAAAATGTTATGCTTTGCTTTCCATGGAAGAATGCGATTATACCTTTTTCTTTCACTCTATCTATAGTTACTCTAACTTTTATGGGTTAAAGTGAAATTCGGAATAGCTGTATAGATTATCCGACTTCACTTTACACCCAAAAAGCATGTATTCCATTCCTAGGTTATTTGCTTCATGCTCTAAGAATCTTCTTTTACAAAAGTGCACATGGTACACACTACGCAATTAAGAATAAATTTGAAGAAAACCTTCCATCTGCTAAGTAGACTCTACAACTACTCTAAGTTTTTAACCAATTGACGTAAAGCCTCACTAGTAATGCTCTAAAGAACTTAGATTAAAATAATGTCTTTTATGAAATAGAACTTTTTTTTTTTTGGGTGATAAAAATGAAATAAAACTATATGAATCTCAGTCAGCGTCAATATCTGTTGGAAAATCTAAAGTTCTTTCCAAGCCCAGACTCCTGGGCTATCAGGATTTAGAAGTGCTCACTGCTCATCCATCTCTTAATTGGGCTACTGGATTTGGGCCAGAATTTGATATCTTGCGTGGCGCAATCATAAGCAACAACTGAAACCTCTGTCCAGTGGCGTCATCGGCTTCATGCTGCTCCTTATTTCAGTTGATAGCGTCTGAAAACTGCTATGGCGCTAAATAGACTGACATAGGTGAATTTTTCTTGCTATGGTTTCAGGTCACGGGTGCGGCAGGAAATGTCATGTAATTGAGAGTACAAGTTTGTAGTAGAGAAAATCTATAAATAAGTATATGAATTTTATTTTATTTTATTTAAGAATATGAATTTTGTTAATTTTTAAATTAAGCAGTAAATTTAAAGATGTTGATTTTGTTTTTTTTTTTTTAATTTAAAAATTAATTGAATGATTAAAAAAATTATTTATCATATCAATATTACTATTTAATTAATTTTTAAATAAAAAACATAAAATTAATATCTTTAAATTAAAAAAAAAAAAAAAAAAACACACAAAAATTCATATCCTTGCTTGTATCTTTTCTCCAAATTTGCAATGTAATTTTTGCAAGAGAGCAGACAGGAGACTGTGTACTTGGTATGAACTATGATCTCCATATATATGAATATGATACATTGATACGTGATGGTGATATTTTTCGTTTCCATATTTTATGATCAGACAAAAGTGATTATAACTCTGAAAGCATGCAAAGATTTGATCTCAAAAGTTATTCATATTTGAGAATTTCATTTATAAATTTTTTTTGCTAATACATATTCGGTGACATCTATGGTTTCTGGACAATAGTGAAACCAAATTTTACTTACTCATTTACAGGTCAATTATCATACACCTAGTGGATACAATCTCTAATTACTGAAACCATACATCTCGGAGGAGTTCACACCTGATAGCGTTTTGATATCCATTTCCATGGGATATCCAGCTTGGTTTTGATGGAACAGATACTGACCGAAAGGTATCGTTGAATATTGAAGCCAAGGGTGAACTCAATTCATCAAGTTCATCATCACTAGTGTATGATTTTCTCAGCATTGATGACCCATTTTTTCTCAGCTGAGGTTGGGCTCCACCTTCTCCAATAATGCTAGCAACAGAAGATGCTGAAGGTGCTGTATACACTGGAGGAGCTGCAGCGCATGGGAAGTTTGTGACAGATCCCTCTCTCGCTTCGGCCGGATCCTGAATCAAAAGAAAAGTACAGATTATTTAACGTTCACCTAGCGGTCTAACTGTTAGCGACTACCAAGGGGAAATCTCATTATTGCTCTATAAGAGAATTTCAGCACAGACTAAACCCAAGCTCTACCATATATTCGGCATGCATGAATTAACTTCATGTAGTTTGTAAGTGCTTGTGATTTAAATTGTAATATAGGTCTACTTCCAGAATATAGCTAACCTCTTCCTCTGCATCCAGGGGTCCTAGCACAACATCAGGAGCTGGATCAGGGCAAAACTCATCAGGGACAAAATTGTCAAGAACTCTCTTGATCAACGGTGCTCCAAATGTTGGACATGCCTTCAAAAATAAATATCAAGCACCGTTAATAAAATGCAAGTGATGCCCGTGAAGACTTGAGACTAAATGCTAAGGTTCTTAATTTGGTCTACCGGACCTCTTTCCTGACAGGGGTACTCAAGAGGATATCCTTGGGAAGCATCATAAGATCACTCAATGCATTAAGGAGATGGAAACATTTAGAGGATGTATCTTATCGTCCATCACCTTCACAATTGTCATTCTCATCTTCAAGTGAGTCATCGTCGCCCATACCAAACAGGTCAGTCAGCCATCTAGACCAGTTCCCAATCTGATATCCAAAAACAAAAATGAAGGAGATTTAAATATGCTAATCTTCACACACCCATTAACATCTTAT